ATCTAGAGACCTGGTTCAACCGTGGAAAGTTCGTCTCTTAGTTTCTGAGGGACTTAAAGAGTGATCTAGACTCTTCAATGACCATGAGGAGCATTCCCCTGGACAGCAAGCAGCTGAAGCTCAGAGGGCAACAGATCATGCCCACCACGTGTGAACGGCAAGACCCATCACCAAAACCCAGGCCTCTGAGATGAGTGTCCAAGATCCCATCTCCTAAAAACACTTCACCAGCATGAAAGGGGGACATTCCAGCCTCAAGAGCCAGCGTGCATGTCCTTGACAGGGACGATCTGACTGGGCTCATGACCACCAGTGGGGACAACGGATAAAACAAACCACTTCCCCGAATAGCCACATTCACTGGGCAGGGCCCCCCAAGAGACCTCCTTCTTTAGGTAGGTCTGCGAAGGTTATCCTGGCTGGGGCAGCAGAAACCCTGTCACGTGTTCTGGGCTGGCCAGTACAGAGCAGCACGGTGCTGTCCGAGGTCAGCTGCACGTGTGCTCTGAGTTCATGATGACACATGGTCCCCACCTGCAGACAACTGCGGTTCTGAGTGCCAACCCTCAGGCCCAGCACCAACCTTCCTGGAAACAAGGAAGCCCTAGGAGGTAGGCTGCCCATTCGCTTCGGCTGAAACCACCGAAGGACCCTCTCCAGGAAAAGGTTAATTTTCTGCTTCTGAGGGAGGAGTAATCCAGAGCCAGCAGTCTGCCAGACACACAGCTTCCCGCTGTAAGGACCTGAAAGGGGACTCCAACCACTTCCGGGCCTGTTCTGCGTTGTCAAGGCAACCACAGCTCCCAGCTCCCACAAGGGGAGTCTTCCCATCCGTGTTTCCAGGCACTCACTTGCCCCCAAGTTCTTTTTGTTTTAAGCTAGTCTTTGAATTCTTTTAAAACAAAACACATTACAAATATATATTTCTATTGCCCTGGCACCCTTATTATTTCTCGTAGTTTAATCCTTCCTCATCAGACATCTAATCCTCTATGTGAACAAAATGCCATGGTCGTAAGGGCCTTGAAACAGTAATGATTTTCACTTTGTAATGATACAACTCACAAAAATCATACGAATCATGGAAATAAATCCATGCACATATGGTCCAAAGAGCTTGTGTGTTTGGGATGAAAAGAGAGACAGAACCCAAGCATGAGAACGCCGTGGGGTAGGGAAGAGAAGGCTCTGCGGAGACCGGAAGAAGCACAGGCAGACCAACCCGAGGTGCAGAGACACTTACCAGACACCCGGAGAAATCTGCAAAATGACTGCCACTCCATGCCTATGGTATTATCAGTAATCATTTTAGCTGTAATAATGGAATTGTGACAAAGGGGGGGAGGGAGGGAGGAAGAGGGAAAGGAAGGAAGGAAGGAGCAAGCCTTCATCTCTGTCACATGGACTGAATTCTTTACAGATGAAATTATATAATGTCTGGGGCTCACTGCAAAATAATTCAGACAGGAGGGTGCAGAGGAAATAAGACTGGCCGTGTAACAGCAACAGCTGAAGCCAGGTGATGAGTGTTTGGGGGTTCCCTATACTAGTCTCACTTTTTTAGTATGAACTGGAAATTTTCCAAAGTAAAAAAAGTATTTAGAAAAAAGAGGCAGGAAGAAAGAGGAAAAGGAAAGTCAGTGAGTCAAGCAAAAGAATGAGGGAGAAGAGGGAACGGGAAGAGGGCAGTGAAAGGGAAGAAAGATGGAGAGAAAGCAAGAGAATCAGAAGCGCAGAGCTCAGTGCAGATGTGGGGTGCCCTGAGCTCCGCAGCGGCCTCCCTGCTTCGTGCAGGCCACACGGCATTGGACGCCAGGTCACCAGAGCCTCCCGGGTCTGAGCACCGAGAGCGGGGTTCGGGGTGCTCTTGCACTGCTCCAGAAGCGCAGCTGCACCGCCCGGCCCGCGCCATGGGGAGTGCGAGGGCACACTTGAGTTTGTTTCCGTGCACAGCTGTCGAAGGGCAGTGATTCCTGTGCTGCCCGGGCCCTGGCATGGGCGAAGCCATCGGAGTCATTACTGGACATCAACATATACAGAAGACCGAACGTAAAAACACAAAGGAAATCAGACACGGGAGTTTGAAAGGCAGTGAAAAAGAACACAAATAAAAATTCGTAAGAGTGCCACAATAAACTCAGTAATTGTCAAACCGTGGTCACGTCCAATCCTGGAGCACGTTCTGGTTTTTGATTTTACACTGGGGTCAGCAAGCACTGCAGACCACGGACAGAGACTTCTTCCCGCAGATCTTCTCGTACTGGTCTGATTTTGAAGGGAACTCCTAGGGACCGCTCCCCAAACGATTAGGCCTCAAAGTCTCCTCCAATCAAGAGTCACAGCCAAAGCCTGGTCCAGAACCAGCTCGGTGCCACAGCAGTGGTGACAAGGCGGAGGTCGGAGAAGGGACACACCTGCCTCAACACATGCAGCTCATCGGGCCCTGCCCTGGGCCCAGTTCAAGGTCGCCAAGGCCATACCCTGAGCCCATGAGACTCAGATGCAGTCCACGCCTTCTCCTCAGAAAGGCAGCCAGTCAGTCCACAGGGTGTGTGCTCCACAAAGAAGCAATCCTCTCTCTCCTTGCGCAGTTTGGAATTCATTTCCTCTTTATTCTTCCCTCAATAGATGTTCAGTTATTCAAATGCAGCTTCCAGTTTCTTTCTTTCTTCTCAAAAGGACACAAGCTGTTTGGGGAGTAACTTCTGACAATGTGAAAAGGAGTGGTCTGTGCTAAAAGTCATTCAGCGATCATCCTGGCTCCCCACAAATGCATTAATTCCAGAAACGTAAAAATTTTCTTAACCCAGAGAATTAAGCCTTTTCTGAAAGAAAGGAATGCAGCTCAAGAGCTGGACTGTTCGTTCCTACAGGGATCGCCCCCAGGGAAAGGGGCAAGAACAGGCCAAACCCAGGGATCGCCCCCAGGGAAAGGCAGGAAGAACAGGCCAAACCCAGGGATCGCCCCCAGGGAAAGGCAGGAAGAACAGGCCAATCCCAGGGATCACCCCAGGAAAAGGCAGGAAGAACAAGTCAAACCCAGGGAAAGGGGCAAGAACAGGCCAAACCCAGGGATCACCCCCAGGGAAAGGGGCAAGAACAGGCCAAATCCAGGGATCACCCCCAGGGAAAGGGGCAAGAACAGGCCAAACCCAGGGATCACCCCAGGAAAAGGGGCAAGAACAGGCCAAACCCAGGGATCACCCCCAGGGAAAGGGGCAAGAACAGGCCAAATCCAGGGATCACCCTCAGGGAAAGGGGCAAGAACAGGCCAAACCCAGGGATCACCCCAGGAAAAGGGGCAAGAACAGGCCAAATCCAGGGATCGCCCCCAGGGAAAGGGGCAAGAACAGGCCAAACCCAGGGATCGCCCCCAGGGAAAGGCAGGAAGAACAGGCCAAACCCAGGGATCACCCCAGGAAAAGGGGCAAGAACAGGCCAAACCCAGGGATCACCCCCAGGGAAAGGCAGGAAGAACAGGCCAATCCCAGGGATCGCCCCCAGGGAAAGGGGCAAGAACAGGCCAAACCCAGGGATCGCCCCCAGGGAAAGGCAGGAAGAACAGGCCAAACCCAGGGAAAGGGGCAAGAACAGGCCAAACCCAGGGATCGCCCCCAGGGAAAGGCAGGAAGAACAGGCCAATCCCAGGGATCACCCCAGGAAAAGGCAGGAAGAACAAGCCAAACCCAGGGAAAGGGGCAAGAACAGGCCAAACCCAGGGATCACCCCCAGGGAAAGGCAGGAAGAACAGGCCAAACCCAGGGAAAGGGGCAAGAACAGGCCAAACCCAGGTTTTCAATTGGCCTGTGCCAACTATTGACAGAAACACAATACAGGAGGGTATACTTTGGGATTTTAGGGGGTGTTTGTCCTTTTCTTAATGATTTGTATTTTGTCATGAATATTTGTTTCTCTGTTACCTGCCCTGCATTCCATTTGTAGTGGGTTACTATTAGCACAAGATGCGTACTTACAAATGCCTTGGATAAAACATTTACACTTCTGTCCAATAGCCTGGGGACTGGCGCCAGACAAACTATTCAACCATTACCTCGCTTACCCAACCTGAACTCCCACCCTGTTCCAGGAACTGTTTGCCCCGGGCCTATAGATCAACTCCTGCCTTATTCCAGGAACTATCTGCCCCGGGACAATAGACTCACATTCCAGAGGCTCCCATGTGTAGCCCCGCAGGGCCTAACCCTAACGGACAAATTCCAGCTGCCACAGGCAGATACAAAAATCACAAACCCCAGCATCTAGGCTTCTAGGACTCCACCCCCGAGTCTGTGAACTCGCCCGGAGGGTACCCGATAAAGCCTGATGTTTATTCGGCTGTTTGGCTCTCCAGTCTCTTCTCTATTTTTCGGCGGTGCCCCCGATTCCTTACAATTTCCTTCTCAATCTTTTGCTGTTCAATTTTTACATTTAACTCAACTAAAATTATTTTCGTATATGATACGCGACAAGGAATTACTACTTTTTCTAAATACAACTGTTTCTGTTTTTTATTTGTAAACAGTCTTTCTCTCATTAAAAGTCCTTTACACCAAAGGCTATTTGGGACAGAATCATAACAAGTTCTCGTAAGCCTCGATTCCAAACTTGTAATAAAAGGTACATAAATCAGCTTAACACCTAATCCTCTAGCAGGACCAGATGGGCTGATATTTAATCACGTCTACCTAGATTCCAATAGTCGTTTTCACCTCTGGCTGAGAACGGCGGGAATCCTTGTGCAAAGCCGCTGTCACACACAATCACAGCCAATGGTGATGTTTAAATAAGAGTTAACACTCTTAGCTTAATCTCACAGAAAAGTACTTGTTTGCCGGCAAATGACCCAGTGGGGCTTTTTCATGTGTGGAGACTGCTCTCTGCCTCCTCCCTTCCCTTCTCCCAACCCAGAGAGGAGGCCGGTCGTGGTCCCCAGTCACCATCGCCGGGCAATCAGGACCTTCCCTCCAATGAAGACCTTCCGCGGAAGAGGGTCGACTTACCCTGTCCCAGCTGAAACACAGGCCCAGGCGATCGAGCTGCTTCCTCATGTATTTAATATTACTGTGAAATGAAGGGAAGGAGGCTTAGTTCTCAGAGAGGGGGGAGCGATAAGCAAAGGACACTTTGAGAATGGGAAGGGAACCAGGAAAAGTCTAGATCCATTCCAAAGGGTTCTAAGTGCTGTTTTGCCCCCCAAAAATAATTCATCACTGAGAATCAATGAAAATGTCAGCAGAGCAGAAGATATCTGCTCCTTAGACTCATACACCAACTATTAGAAACCACAATGGTCTTTGGCCCTGGGATGGGCCCTCCCTCTGGCCACTCAGGTAGGCAATCCTTTGATGTGGGTACTCCTGGCCCATCCATCTGCCGGCCTTCTGCACAGATCTAAGCCAGCTATTCAATATAGAATTCTCTGAAGAGAAAAAAACCTCAACATACCAACTGTGGGAATTCAGGAGAAACCTGGTTAGTGCTTTGCCAATTAAAATCAAAGTCTAAAACTACCCGCTCACTGGGAAAGAGGGAGACATGATTTAATCAACTCTATAAAATGCAATAAATAAATACATCATTTTTTCCCTTTTGTTAAAGAAAAAGGACTAATTCACTTACACTGCACCCTTTTAGTTCCAGCATCCGATGGACAGCCATGAAAAAATTCTCTAGGTGACCTCCGATTGGCTAACGATAGCTTCTTTTCTTCTAGGCCTTGTGCTAAGCATTTTTGCAGAAAACTGCTTTCTACAGACTAAATGTTTGTGTCCCCCCAAATTCCTATGTTGAAAGCTAATCTGCAGAGTGATGGAATAAGGAGGTGGTGTCTTTGGGAGGTGATTAGGTCATGAGGGCAGAGTCTTCATGAACAGGATTTAGTGTCCTTACAAAAGAGACCCCAGAGGGCACAAAGGAGGTGGCCAATCAATGTTCTCTCTCATAGATGTTTCTGTCTCTTTCCCTCTCCCTTCCTCTCTCTCTCAAATCAATAAAGAAAAAACTATGTTTTGAAACGGACCTCAGAGGGCTCCACTGCCCCTTCCAACATGTGAGGACACAGACAGATGGCCACCTGCCACCTGGAAGAGGGTCTCGGCAGACACCGAACCTGCAGGCCCCTTGACCCGGACTTCCCAGCCTCCAGAACTGAGATAAATCTGTCTTTATAAGCCACCCGGACTGGTGGTATCTTTGTCATTAAGCTATGACAGTGCTTAATCTTACCCATTCTCATGAGGTAGGACCTGTGACTACCCCTCCCACAGACAAGCAAATGCGGCACAGAGGCCTTAGTAATGTGTTCAAGGCGATTAACTAGCAAGAAGGAAAGGCAGGTCCTGCCCCCAGGGGGCCTTATTCAGGGGCGACCTTTCGAACTGCTGTTCTCTAGTGGAGAGCTGGCAACCTTTTTCTGTAAAAGGCTAGTGTTCTCAGCTCTGTGAGCATAAGCTCTTGGTCGAACTACTCACCTCTGCCACGGTGACATGAAAGCAGCCATGGACAGAATGTAAACAAATGGGTGGGACTGTATTCCAATAAAACTTTTCATAAAACCAGGCAATCCCGCCCTGGCCGGTTTGGCTCAGCGGTTGGAGCGTTGACCTGTGGTCCAGAGAGACTGGGGTTCGGTTCCCGCTAAGGGCGCGTACCTCAGTTGCAGTTTGTCCCTGGCCCTGGTTGGGTCGTGTGGGTGGCAACCACTCGATGTGTCGCTTTCACATCAATGTTTCTCTCTCTCTCTCCCCCTCCCACTCTATCTGAACAAAAAATAGAAAAATGTCCTCGGGTGAGGATAAAAGAAAAAAAAAAATTCAAGCAATCCCTGGCTAACTTACATCAAGTATATGCTCTATTTAATCCATTTTTTTTATCCTCACCTGAGGACATTTTTGCATTTATTTTCAGATAGAGTGGGAGGGAGAGAGGGAGGAAGAGAAAGAGAGAGAGAAACATTGATGTGAGAGGGACATCGACTGGCTGCCACCTACAAAACCCCAACCAGGGCTGGGGACAAACTGCAACCAAGGTACATGCCCTTAGCAGGAAGAGAACCTGGGATCCAGTCTGTGGGGCCAATGCTCTAACCACTGAGAAACCGGCCAGGACTGATCCATTTTATTTGATCACTTCCTCCGGAGAAATGGATGGTGCAGCGAAGGTTTTACACTACGGCCTTGGCCGAGACAAAGCAAAGGGAGGTGAAAACCCTGGGGCAGGCCCCAGAACTTCGCCTCCACATTGGGGGAACAGGGCGGGGAGGAGGAGAAGAAAAGCCCCAGACCTTTGTGAAGGAAGCTGATGGGGTGGGCCAGGATCTCTCTGCTGGTTTCCAGGATGAGGTCTTCCAGACCTTACCAGGAGGAGACGGATGGACAGGGGAGCCTGAGGCACGGAGGGGCTGGGAGGGACTGGGAGCGTGTCCCATTGGGGAAAACCACGCCCAGAATAAATCGACTGTATTTCTATGTTGAATGGCTAAGTTCCTCTTGCTTCAAAATGGTGAGAGCAAAAAATTAACAGAATTTTCAGAGAAAATTACAATGTGGACTCTGGATATAGCTCCAACTATGGTCATGGAGATGAGAAGCATTGCAGAAATTTACAAATGCAACCCTTTCCTCCCTCTTCTCCTTCCAAATGCAAATACTCAGAGGAAGAATAACTTTAGAAATAACTAAGCATCAAAATGAACACATAAACGAATACCCAAAACCCTCTTTGTGATTTCTTAGGTAAGAACACAGGGTCATCCCAGTACACCAAAAAGGGGACAGGGCAGGTTTGATGCCCGGTTGGGCACATACGGGAGGCAGCTGATTGATGTTGCTCTCGCATCAATGTTTTTTTCTCTCTCTCTCAAATCAACTTAAAAAACAGTATCCTCCAGTGAGGATTTAAATTATATATATACAGAGTGCTAAGAGACAAACACCAGTATATACAATCCTGTTTATCACTTGGCAGACTTCAATGTTAGATTTACTTTGCTTTCTATTTCTCATAAACAGATTTAAAAATGTGTTTTAAGGTTTCTGTACAGAGGTGTTTGAACACGTCTGTAAATACATACCTTTGTGTCCAACTTTCTGGATGGAGATTCCTCTCAATCGCGGCATTTTCGGCAGGCAGTCCAAATGCATCCCATCCCATGGGGTTGATGACCTAGAACCAGGAGAGAAACATCAGGCATGGCAGATAGAGAAGACCCAGACCAGTGTTCTCTTCTGGAAAGATGGAGAGGACCCAGACCAGTGTTCACCTCTGAGCAGATGGAGAAGACCCAGACCAGTGTTCTCCTCTGGGCAGATGGTGCAGACCCAGACCAGTGTTCTCCTCTGGGCAGATGGAGAAGACCCAGACCAGTGTTCTCCTCTGAGCAGATGGAGAGGACCCAGACCAGTGTTCTCCTCTGGGCAGATGGAGAAGACCCAGACCAGTGTTCTCCTCTGGGCAGATGGAGAAGACCCAGACCAGTGTTCTCTTCTGGGCAATAAGCAGGCATTCTCTCCTACCAATATGCCTTATCTCTTTCTGGTGATTTTGATGTGCCTTGGAAAGCCAGCTAGCCACCTACAACGTCTGTACGGGAGAGGATTCAGAAGGTTCTACACCAAGGCACCACCAGCAGTATCTCTCAGTAGATATTTCACTACTGCTTTTTATCTTCTTCTTGTCTGTACCATCTATAATGAATCTAAACTGTTTTTCTGAAACTATAAAGTTTCTTTCCATTTCAAAAATATGTATGTATCAAAATGTATTGTCTTTCAAAATGCTCACCTCCTGTCAGTTTTATTTTCCAGTTAAGCAGCTGTGCCGTCCAATGGGTAGCCACTAGCCACAGGCAGGTGTAGACATTTAAATTCAATCAAAAATTCAGTTGTCAGTTGCACTAGCCACTTTGCAAGTGTGCAAAACCACTGCGGATCACACCCTTAGGGTGTTCCCACGCTCCACCGAACAGGCTCCAGGAGCCTAAGATCAGAAAGCTCCAAGAGGCTTTTGTTATCTATCCTCAGCTCAGCAGCTGAGCTGGTCACACCAGAAGCAGCTTCCTTGAGCCTGGACAGGCCAGAAAGGCTTCATTTCTGCAAAAGGACCAGTTACAGCTCAGCTGGCAGCTTCCGCAGCAAGTGCCGTCACCCTACCCTGCAGGCCGTGAGCAGGAGCCACACTCGAAGCGAGTGCCGGGCACCAAGGCCGGCTCAGAGGCCAGGCTCTCTACCCACTGTCAGGAAGGACACCTGCTTCGACAGCGGTCCTCTGCCCTTCTGTGCTGCTGGTTTCGGCCACAAGCACAGACACAGCTGCTCTTCAGCCAGGTTTCTGAAGCTTCCCTATGCATGAGGATGACCCAGGGAGGCTCCGCGGTTTCCAGGAAACAGCCCCTCCAGCCGACCCTCTTCCTCCCTACGAACAGCCAGGAGCTGGGCTGGTTGGCCCGTCTGTGATCGGCACAGAACCCGAGGCTCGGCTCACACACCTCTTTGGGGCAGTGCTGACCAAACACACAGGGGCACTGCAGGCGCCAGCTCCTCACGCGTGCGCATCACAATGGGACGTTTTCCGCTAAAGATATAGGTCTTGTTTTCTTTAATAATCAGCTTTCCCCTGATTAATGACCGAACACACATTCATATAAGTAACTTTATACATAGGGAAAAATATTCAAAAGAAAATAAATCTCACCTGTAATTCTACCATACAGCCACACAAAGCCAGTTAAATTTGGTAAATTTATATCCAATTTTAAAAACTGGTTATTTTCTCTCTATTGATTTTTCACTGTGCACCTGGACTTTCCTTCCTCCTTTCTGCTTGGCCCGAGGACTTTCCCGGGTGCACACGCCTGGCAGGCCCCCGAACACCTGCCCAGTGTCCCCACTGGCTCGTCCCAGTCTCAGTTCCCACACTGCTCCCTCCCCTCCGCCACCCAGTGGTCAGAGCCACTCGCCTTCAGTCATCCTTCCGTTACGCTCATTACTCTCCAGTTGGGTTTCCGTGGTCCGGTGGGAGGGTTCCGTCCAGACAAGGAAGACCCCAGCTACAATCAGAGCCGCTCTGCCGCCTCAGGCTGGGGAGCGGGAAGTGCCAACAGAGGCTTGAGGGGCAGCCCAAGGCCTAACCCGCTGTTCACTGGCAGTGGGACCTGCGGAACATGACTACGCTGAGTCTCAACTATAAACTGTGACTGAAAGCAGCCACCTCAGATCGTGGAGAATGATGTACCACGATGTCCGTGGGGCACCCGGCACAGTGCCACACACAGCCCATGGCAGCTCGGGCTGCTGGGACGGCCGCTGTCATCTGCTTCCCCATGTTCACACCTCATAACCGTGCACGTCCCCGGTTCCCTCGTCTAGGTGTCAGCCTGTGTCTCTTTGGCCACAACAGGTAGGGAGACACCTTGCCCCCACACATAACCTCATGCATGGACCTTCCTAAGAGTGGGTTACTTACAACAAGCCTCTGTAGCAGGCTGGTGCCAGGCAGGACTGTATGACACTGAGGCTCAAAGGGCTGGCCAGCTGCCTGGCCTTCTTTTCCGTATTAGGGGCCCAGTGGTTCTTCTTTCCCACGTAATTAATGGCTCACATCAGGCACTTGGCTGGAAAGCAGCCCGGCTGTTCTGGCCACGGCTGCGTGCACCAAGCACAGCCCATAAGCAGCAGGCACGGTCTGTGTGCTGGGCAGGGAGGGGCTCGCCTCGGACTGCCCTGGCAAAAAGACTGCCAGGTGGATCTTGCCGTGTTGGGGTGGTGGTGGGTCTGCCCACTCAGATCCGCTTTCTGGACACGATATTCATGGGCCTGGTGAACAAAAGGCACGTGGCTCCCTCCAGCTTGCTGCTCAGGAGAGCCTGGTCTGCCAGATGCTGCGCTGTGCTGCCCGTCTCGGGACCCGGGAAGTCTGGGAAACTCTGGGTCTGCAGCCTGAGGACATGATGACATGACTCCCAAGCTATCTCCCTTCAGTCCCTACCTGTACCCTCCTGAGGTCAATCTGAATAGGCTTCTCTTCTTTTTTATTGGATGTTTCTCAAATTACAAACACAATACAAACTTATTCTAACAAGTGAACGACGCAATATGTGACACATAAAGGTGAGGCCGATCCTCGCCTCCTGGCCTCTAGCCCCATGCCCGCGTCCTCGGGTAACCAATAACAACAGCCTTTGTCTCCTTCCACACTTCCTCCTCACGCACACATGTGGACACACCCACCGGAGCTTGCTGCTTTATTTTCATGGAAATAGAACCTATTATACACTATCTTATGACCTGCTGTTCTTTTCATTTCACAAATCATGGAAATCTGTACAAAATATGTAAGTATGCATGACTTTTTTAAAAATTCTAACATTCCTTGAGTACATCTTATTATCCTATGTGGTTTTAGGAACCTGACTAGACATAACCTGATCCAGTTGATCCTTTGGACCTGGGGTCTCTTTTCCTCTTGTTAAATATGGCAGACCCAACGAGTTCCATCTTTCCAAACAGTATCCTGCCCTTCTTCTGGGACACTGCTCCTCCTCCAGTGTCATACAGTCCTGCTGGGGACCATCAATTACAAAAGCCAGGCACGTGCCTGAATCCTCCAAGCTTGTCTGTTTTCTGGAGAGCATGTGTGTGTGTGGGGGGGGGGGGGTGCAACAGAGACCAGGACGATGTGAGACCCTCTCTTCCCTTTTCTCCTTGGTCAGGGGGAACAAGGATATGAATCCAGGGCTCCAGGTGGCCCTGGCTTCCCTAGTGGGGACGGCTGAGAAAGTAAAGCTGGCACGTGGACAGAGACTGGGGACACTGACATGCTTTAAGGACTGGCCCCAATCCCAATGGGCCTGGCTCTCACATTTCCTTTGATTCTGTGAGTTACCCCAGGATCTGCAGAGACGACAAAACCTCCCTTTTTGCTTAAGCTGGTCTGAGCTGGGTTTCAGTCCCGAGTAGTCAAGAATCCCACCTAAAACAGACCCCTTTAGGTCACAGCTTTCTCCTCAGTATTGTTTCATCCGTCGGTGAAAAACATTCCCCTCCATTAACTATTAGGCGTCACAGTTTTTCCTCTCTTTTTCTTTCCAATTTTCAAGAACTAAAAAAAAAAGACCCATGCAGGGATATTGCTGGATGACTAGAAAGTTCTTCCATACTGCCGCGGGCAGGGCAGGTCCCAGGTGTGCTGGACCCTCCAGGGGCTGCTCACCTGGCAGAACGGGCGACTGTTGCGTAACCACGAGAAAGGGGGAAACACAGCCACTTGCTCTCCCTGCCGGAGCTGCCCGAACAGCACGAGTCGGTGTCTGCTGTTCACGCTCTGCAGTACTGTCCACGTTTACATACAGTCAGCAGAGAAGCGTGTGCCTTGCCCGTCACAACAAGCCCGTCTGGGTTTACGTAATACACTTATTCTTTTCTATTTGTGCTGTCAGATGAAATTAACATGAAAAGAGATTGTTGGCTCACATGTTACCCAAGCTGTCTATGAAAATCAAGGTAGAGAAATTGCAAAGCTTCTTCATAGTTCATATTCTTACCAAAAAAGTGAACAGAAACCCCCGAATGTCTGCCCTGGACGACAGAGTGCAGGAAGGCCTTTCTGTCCCTGAAGTTGGGTAAGTTCTTTCCACCATGGGAGGAATGCTCCGTGGGGCACATGTGTGTGAAACAGGAGAGGGTCTGCGATTTCTGTCCCTGTGTTCCCAGAGTCACAGTGACCAGATGCAGAGTGCACTCGGGGCTGGAAGACGGTCCACTCCTGCCCAGGGGGTCCGACGTGAGCAACAGGACCACAGACCACCACAGCGTGTGCCTTGCCCGGCAGCACAGCCTGCTACAGCTCATGCACGTGGGAGACGGTGCCAGGTGCTCCTCCGCCCCTCTCGCGCCCTGGTCTCATGTGGCGTCCGGTGTCCAAGACTACGAAAAGCACTCACGGGAACAACCCTACACTCTGTGCTGGAGCTCCTAAACTCCGACTCCTCTTTCTGTCACCAGGACTTGGTTTAATCCTTCTAGCGTTCCACAAGTAACATGTACCAACTAGGCAATTTACTCTAAAATCAAAACAAAATGAAAAATCCCAGCACCCGGCTTCAGACGTGAGGGCCACCTGAGCCTCTCAGTGCCCTAGGAGCTAACCTCCTCCTGGACACGCGTGCT